TATATATATTAATAAGTTAATTGTATGTTTATATATATATATGATATTATTATATATTAATTTATTAATAATTGTATTATATATGTAAATCTGGCTTAATCTGGTTTAACTTTACTAACTAGTACTGATTCTGATTCAAGTGTCAAAAGAATTTGAATGAGTTTAACTTTAGTGTATTTCATTTTATATGGTCTTTTGTGACAGCCAGCAAAATTCCTTGCGAGTTCTACTTGATTTGTTTAATGAAGTCTTGGAATTAAATCTGTTATTTGCTTCACGTACTGTTCCTGTATAAATGTTCTTTAACCGTATAGTTGACTGGCGTTGAGCCCAGGTGAAACACACCATGGAGAAAAACATACACAGGTGTAGTGTATGAATAGAAATTGTCCACAGTGGTGAAATAAAAAGCTAAACCAGAGAAGATGTAATGCATGGGAACAAACTCTTGACATGATTTGTCAGATTGTAATGTTATGAAACCGATGGCACAGGAGAACTGCTGTAGTTAACATTATCTTTGTCAGGCTGATTTAATTGCCTGAAATTGCTGAGTTTGTGGGTCAGATAAGAGTGCCTGGTCTTCTGTAGTGGGTTAGGCGTCTAAAAATGGTTGTTATTTCTCATTAATCTCAGGACATTGAGGGGTTGTATATTTATTAGCACAGAAATTAACAAACCTGCAGATCATTGGACGTGAAGCGAGAATGCAAATGGTAAAACAACAGAAGATAAAACCCAACATAAAACCCAAATGTGCATAACTGATAACAAAAACTATTAAGAAACATAATTATTAAACAAAATATTCAAATGTGAAGTGTCACACAGTGAAATTCTGGGAATATCAGTTTACAGTTTTTCATTGTAAATTATAATTTGATCTGCCTTTTTTACTTCTAAAAACTGTACATTTAACAGTATTTTACTGTAAAAATTACATGAGATATCCGGTTATATCAGTTTTTCCCTGTATGTAGTACGGGAACTTACTGTTAACCTATTAACAGTCCGTAGTGTTTTTACAATATTTTACAGTTAAAATTGCACTCATTTTTTGCATTGTGCAAAAGATGCTGCAAATCTGTGTGATGAACTTGGAATCATTTGCCCTCACATGAAATTCCCAATTATGTGGATTCCTATTGAAATGACTGTATTTCACTTGCAAAAATTAGCCAAAAAATGGTAAATGTGAGTGCAATTTAACTGTAAGGTGGAAACGGGCTTTCATAATTTAGAGCCGCCTCTTTGTGTTTGTGTTTGCTTATGTGTGTGAGCCTAAATATATGTATGAATGTGCGTATTACACATGCCACAAGGCATGACAATAGGGTGAAACTTGACCCTGACAGGCTTAATTATTCTCAAATTTCTCTCCATCACCGAGGTTCCGCAGGGAGAAAGTCAACCTGCCTAGGGATACATCAAAGCAGAGAGTCAGAGGTTAACGCTTGGGAAAACACTAGCTCTTAATATGGAGACCATTTTATCCTGTAGCTTCAGAGCGCTTGCCATCAAACACGTACAAAATTTTCTAGTGGCATTTTCTAAATCTAGCCTTCTCATAGTGGACAGTATGATTTGTATTTAGATGTTGTTGTAAATCACATTTACTCAAGGGAATTTATGTAATGTCAAGTTACATTACAGTACAGGAAGAAACACACCAAGCTGCTACTTGCCGTCAGATAAGATTCATAGGATTGGTTCACACACAAGATACATTTTTTTATTCCACCCTCAATTTCGAAATGCACTTTCCCAGCAACTGTAATTGTGACTTTTATTCATTATGTTGCATAATTACATGACACATTTTTGCAGGTCACTGAGAAGCAAACCAGCAGATGCAGTAGACGGCTGGCGCCATGGCCTCAGATGCAAGTCACATGTTAGAAGCAGCCTTGGAACAAATGGATGATATTATTGCTGGTAAGACTTTAATTTAGCTTCAAGCTGATTTGAAATCCTCCTGATGAACTTGTGCATGGATCACATTCTTCCAAATAGCAATGATCTGGTCCACAATTATGTCCATTGCTTCTTTACTGAATAACAAACAGGATATTTCAAAATAGCAATTGTATTTTCTCAGAAAAATGGGTCAAGTAAAGGTAATTTTGCAGTCTGTTTCTGATTGGCTGCTTTTCAGGAAGCGATCAGATAAGGCTCTGCTCCTATACAATGTTTTTTCAATGTATCTCTTGATCTATACACACTAATTGGATTCCCTCAACGCTGCATGTGTGAAGCTTTTTGAAAGGATTACATGGTGTTGGATATTTTGAAAGAAAAGCACTTGCCAAACAAAGGTAAAGCTGCATAAAAAGCTTTGTATAGCTTGAATTAGTTAATATATGAATATTTTTTAGAATTATATAATTGTCTTTAAAAATAATATACAATAATAACTTTTATGCCTCATCAGCGTGATCAAATAAGATGTGACTCCTTTTTTATGGCAGATAGCACATGACAGAAAGCCTACACACCTTTATCTGCTTGAATAATTGGGTGTGTGTACTGGATTTTCCATTTTTGCTGGTATTTAAAAGCATGCTATGCTATCTATTAATGAACAGCACCAGGCTGCACTCATCTCTTCTTGTCATTTAACTGAAGGCTTATATTCACATTCTTATCAGGGCTGTGATTATAGCGCTGTGTGTTTCAATTACATTGTTTCAGTAGTGAAAGATCCCAACGCCCCGAATAGAGTCAACACTCTCTTGACGTGTGAGGCTAAATTAAGCTACATAAAGAACAGCATTGTGGGACTTGCCCCCTCTAGCCCTGGACAGTTGTCTTTTGTGATCCTCCACCCGAGTGGCATGTGTCCGTGCCGCCCAATTACAAGAGTATAAGTAAGTTAAATGTTCTGTTCATAATGTGGCCTGACATTTATGAAATGTAATATCTTTGTGTGGTTTGACATCCTTCTAATATAAATCATTCTTTGTCTCTTATAAGAATGAATAAATTAATAAACTAGATTTTATTTTTTCAGAGGAACCACCTGTAAAAATCACCACTACTATTATAAGGTATTCTAAACCATTGCCAGGGTGTTGCTATGCTGTTGTTAAAGTGTATTAGGTGGTTACTAGGTAGTTGCTTACCCCCAAGTGTCGTTTTTGGAGATTTTTTCACTTTTATTATCATTCTCCAATAAGACACAACAGTCCGTAGTGTTTTTACAATATTTTACAGTTAAAATTGCACTCATTTTTTGCATTGTGCAAAAGATGCTGCAAATCTGTGTGATGAACTTGGAATCATTTGCCCTCACATGAAATTCCCAATTATGTGGATTCCTATTGAAATGACTGTATTTCACTTGCAAAAATTAGCCAAAAAATGGTAAATGTGAGTGCAATTTAACTGTAAGGTGGAAACGGGCTTTCATAATTTAGAGCCGCCTCTTTGTGTTTGTGTTTGCTTATGTGTGTGAGCCTAAATATATGTATGAATGTGCGTATTACACATGCCACAAGGCATGACAATAGGGTGAAACTTGACCCTGACAGGCTTAATTATTCTCAAATTTCTCTCCATCACTGAGGTTCCGCAGGGAGAAAGTCAACCTGCCTAGGGATACATCAAAGCAGAGAGTCAGAGGTTAACGCTTGGGAAAACACTAGCTCTTAATATGGAGACCATTTTATCCTGTAGCTTCAGAGCGCTTGCCATCAAACACGTACAAAATTTTCTAGTGGCATTTTCTAAATCTAGCCTTCTCATAGTGGACAGTATGATTTGTATTTAGATGTTGTTGTAAATCACATTTACTCAAGGGAATTTATGTAATGTCAAGTTACATTACAGTACAGGAAGAAACACACCAAGCTGCTACTTGCCGTCAGATAAGATTCATAGGATTGGTTCACACACAAGATACATTTTTTTATTCCACCCTCAATTTCGAAATGCACTTTCCCAGCAACTGTAATTGTGACTTTTATTCATTATGTTGCATAATTACATGACACATTTTTGCAGGTCACTGAGAAGCAAACCAGCAGATGCAGTAGACGGCTGGCGCCATGGCCTCAGATGCAAGTCACATGTTAGAAGCAGCCTTGGAACAAATGGATGATATTATTGCTGGTAAGACTTTAATTTAGCTTCAAGCTGATTTGAAATCCTCCTGATGAACTTGTGCATGGATCACATTCTTCCAAATAGCAATGATCTGGTCCACAATTATGTCCATTGCTTCTTTACTGAATAACAAACAGGATATTTCAAAATAGCAATTGTATTTTCTCAGAAAAATGGGTCAAGTAAAGGTAATTTTGCAGTCTGTTTCTGATTGGCTGCTTTTCAGGAAGCGATCAGATAAGGCTCTGCTCCTATACAATGTTTTTTCAATGTATCTCTTGATCTATACACACTAATTGGATTCCCTCAACGCTGCATGTGTGAAGCTTTTTGAAAGGATTACATGGTGTTGGATATTTTGAAAGAAAAGCACTTGCCAAACAAAGGTAAAGCTGCATAAAAAGCTTTGTATAGCTTGAATTAGTTAATATATGAATATTTTTTAGAATTATATAATTGTCTTTAAAAATAATATACAATAATAACTTTTATATATATATATATATATATATATAATTTGTTTTTCAGTATTTAATATTATATTATATTTCAATACTAACTAGTATTGATTTTTATCTTTAAATGAGTTCAGCTTCTTTTTTATTTTATGTTTTACATTTAGTAATGTATTTAAATATTTATTAATGATGTTTTTAAAAAATATATTTATATAGTTCTTTCTATTTTATATATAATATACAATTCCATTTATATGTAAGTACTGTATATAAAACAATATATGGACTTTTTGTAAAGCATCTGTTCAATGATGCGTTTGTAGTGTCTTAAGTAAGTTATCTTAATTTGGGGGCTTGTCTCAGAAATATTCATATGATGCTATATAATGCATATCATGTCATTCGTTTTCTTTAAATTTGAATTGTATTTAGTTATAGACAGCCCTGTGGTATGTACTGTACAGTAGATAAATGTTAAAACATTAAGCTATTAATCAAGCTACATAATGAGTGCACTACTGTTTCAGCACAACATTTTATAACAAAGCAGCCAGTTTTGGAGGGGAAACTCTTAACAGGGCTGGGTAAGGAGAGAATGTGGGGGCTGTGTTGCCCCTCAAGCAAGCTCAGTGATTGCCAAGATGATTTAACTAATAGAGGATAAATGTTTAATGTGGGCAGTCAACAAATGAAGGCTGGGGGATGGAGTGAAGCGTGCGGTTTGCTGTCTGAGCGAGACAGCGAGAGGTACAGTGGACTCAGCCAGTCCGTAGGGAGACATTCACTGTGACAAAATCTGTGATAAACACTATTTATTCAGTTACATAACCTAAGGTCACACTGCCATTAACTTTTAGGCAAAACAATGTTGGCTTGCTTACTTTTAATGTGGGATAAAAAGAGCAAAATAAAAAGTGATCTAAAAAAACAAGGGCTCATATTTCTAATGTAGTCAGTAAGATTATTTATTTATTGAAAGAAAGAAATTATTTATTTTATGAAGCAAGGGTATGTTAAAGTGATCATCAAAAGTGACAGTAAGGACATTTATAATGTTACAAAATTCAATTTTAATTTCAAATAGATGTTTTTCTTTTGAATGTTGAATTCATCAAAGAATCCTGGAAAAAAGAAATATTTTCCACATTAATCAGTTACATAACCTAAGGTCACACTGAAGAGCAAAATAAGAAGTGATCTAAAAAAACAAGGGCTCATATTTGTGGGATAATCAGTAAGATTATTTATTTATTGAAAGAAAGAAATTATTTATTTTATGAAGCAAGGGTATGTTAAAGTGATCATCAAAAGTGACAGTAAGGACATTTATAATGTTACAAAATTCAATTTTAATTTCAAATAGATGTTTTTCTTTTGAATGTTGAATTCATCAAAGAATCCTGGAAAAAATAAATATTTTCCACATTAATAATAATAATAAATGTTTCTTGAGCAGCAAATCAGCATATTTCTGAAGGATCAAGAGTAATGATGCTGAAAAGTCCGCTTTATCATCACAGGAATAAATAAAAATATATATTCAAATAGAAAACAGTTATTTTAAATTGTAATAATATTTCATAGTGCTTTTAATGTATTTTTAATCTAATAAATGCAGCCTTGGTGAGCATAAGAGACTTCTTTCAAAAAATAATATAAATCCTAAAACATATATCAAAACTTCTGAACATTAGTATATTGACATATTGAATATTTGAAAATAAATGCTTATTGTGTAAAATAATATCTTTTTAATTACACTAAACTATTTGTATTGATTCTTTTCGTATTCTCCATTTGGATGTTTTTTTTTTTCACTGAGCTGGTACGTGATAAGAAATACTATGTGTTTATTTAATACATAAACCAATTTATTGCATTTACAGTTAAAATATAATGAGATATGTTATCATAATATAAACTTAATTGTACCGTGTTATAACATTTTGCATACCACACATGGTCTATTAGCTGTGTAGTCCTGCAAGTCATGAGTTATAATTGCTCTGAATAGGCTACATGTGCCAAATATTACACATTCAGGACTTCAAATAGCACAGGCTTATAAATCAATTGCTTATGAATTTAAATCATTTGAAACCATTAATGTTTAGTAATCAGATGTCACACCATGCGGCTAATCCTGGATCTAGACTTTAAATGAGTGTCTGTCTGTGTGTTTTAAGAATAGGAGGGTGTGATGAGAGATGACCACAGGCATGTTGTGTCTCTTTGATTCTGCTCTGTTAACTGACTCATGACAATGAAGAAGTGTTGTTATAAGAGTTGCTCAAAGTTCTTGAAATGCCTCCACCTGCTGGTGACAGATGGAACATCTCGATTACGAAAAAGATGATCCAACAACTAGCATTCTAGCCTTATATATGTGGTTAATAGACTTTCCGGTTTCCAGCAGTTTTTGTTTTGTTTTGTTATTTTAGGTGATTTTTGATTATCAAAACCTAAGGGATAATGAATAGCTTGAGCGAGAATAAATATTCCACTCTGTCTCTTTATTGTTTTTTTTGTTTTTTTCAAATAATTTCAAATATCTTTATTTTATTTTATTTTGTTTTGTTTTACAGCTGAAATTGCATTGTTAGGGCATCCCTCCATGCACTGCTTGTTTCAGTAACTAGCACAACACCCCCACCCCTACATTAATGCAACCAATAAGGTCATTTCATGCCTTCAGCTAAGCAAAACACTTGCACCTGAATGCACAAATTATTCATTTGTATAAACAGTTATGTACATTTGTCTCACATTCTTTGCATGCATACAAAAAGCATTTATTTGCATTGTTCTCATTACTCTTAGCACCACTTTAGTCCACCCACTTATCTTCTTTGTAATGACATATAGAAACAATACAAATCTTACATTAACGGGACATGTAAACTAATGGAATATTGTGTAATGAGCTAAAAATTGACACCACTACCCTTCTCCATTGTCATCTGTGAGCCTCTTTGTTCTGACTGTTCTGGCGTTAAATAATGGAACAATGTCATCATACACTTTTAAAGTGTTATAGAATCCTGATGGTTTCCAGATGTTCCTGTAAATTAGTTTCGTCTCATTCCATAGTATCCAGATGGGGATGGTTGGAACTGTTGTGCTAGATGATGGAGGCGACACGTGGCTGCAGTGGTGTGGGTGATGATGGTTAATATGGTGTGATGATGTATGACATGGCGTGATGGTGCATCTCCCCTGCTCTCTTACTATTTGTTTTTCCTCTCAAGTCACTTTTTGCCCTAGCTGTACCATAGATTGTAGCTTTTCTCATGCTTTTTGCTACTATGATACAATAAAAAACATGACAAGAAAAAAAGGAATGGATTTTTAAAATGTGCTAGATTCGAACCTGTCACCCATATGAGCATATGACCACTAAGCCAAAGACCTAACCTCTTCTATATTTTATTTAGTCCATTTCATATTTCTTTCCGCAGGTTCCAAGGCTGCGGTGGGGTTCAGTAACGGGCTGTATGATCTGGGCTCTCCTGTGAGCGTCGGGCCCCTGCCGGTTCTCAAGCTGGCTGAGGAGCTGAGATTGGCACTGGAGCTGCAGGCCGGGGACAAGGACCGCAACTCCCTGCGCTCCCAGCTGCCCTGCACCACCGCACAGGCCCTCATTGAGTGGCTGGAGAAAGAATCGGTGAGGCACTTGAAAGTGAAAGCCTATAAATTGTTTGTGGATTTTATGTTGGAATAGTATCACAGTTATTCAGGAACAATGGTCAGTTTTTATACTGGCTGATATAAGCCTTAGCCAGAGTTAATTCACTTAACAAGTGTTCTCTTTCCAACTCAAGTCAGCTCATTCACTCTTAACTAACTCATGAGCAATCATTATATTTGGAGTTTGATGTTTAATGTTTCCTGAGCTTCTCTGTTTAGCCTGGTGCCATCTTCAAGTTTTCAGTCAGCATTTGGATAGTGTTTTCTTCATATAAATATTCACACACCGTGCAGTGATACAGATGTTAACATGTTTCTCAGATGATAAATGAACATTTTTCATATTGTGTTTGTCATGTTTTGGAAACAAAACTTTTTTAAATGTAAATGTGGTGTCAGGATTATAAGCAGCAAAAAGACCCCGCAAGTGTTAAGACTATTCAATAAGCAGCTATACTTAGTCTTAAAGGAACAGTTCATCCATCAATGAAAATTCCTGCATTGATTTCTCACTCTCGTTTTTGTTCCAAACCTGAACTTTATTACTTCAGAGGAACACAAAAGTAGAATAAAAAATGACAAAGATATAAACAAAGGAGGAAAAAAAAACACAATAAAGCGTTCACAAAGGGGGTCCATATACAATATTTTAAATTGGCTTTTTATTTGTATGTTTTCAGTTTTCATTTTACTTTAAGTTACACAAATGAATTTGCAAATGAACATATACATCTTCAAAAAATATTTTTACTAGTTAACACAATAAGAACACTGTGTGCATATAACTTGTGCACTATATTCTTAGTCCTCTTCAGTCATTTAATCTCTTTGTGTGACGAACAAATTGAAATCATTAAAATTAAAATCACTATTCACTGAAAATCTTCCCCTCTAATCAGCTGTTCATTGTTCAACTCAAGGTTAGAACTGTGAACCTAGTCGATCAATTCATTTAAAAAAATTGACTCAAAAGAATGATTTCACTGACCCAAACGTGGTGAGCACAAGTCTTAAGAACTGTTTTTATGGTGCTTTTTTTAATCGGATCTGTCACTGTATTAAAAAAAGAGCTGCTTGAAGAATCTTAAAAAAAAAATTCCTTATGCGTTCCAATGAAAAAAAAATAACAGCTTACAGGGTTGAAACAACATGAGTGAATAATAACAATTATGATAATTTTCAGTTTTGAGTGAACTATACCTTTAAGTACAGACTCTTGTCTGTACTTAATGTGTCCCAGAGGCAGTTTCTGGCCCAGCATTTGCATGCGTGCGTGTGCTTGTATGTTGCTTGGATGTTTTTAAAAGAGTTCAGATCCCCTCTGAGACATGTGAGGCTGTGCTTCCTGCCTCTCTCCCTCTCTTCCCTTCATATCCCTCTCTCCATGCAGTCATTCTCTCCTTTCTCTTTGCTCTGCATTTAAAACGATCTGGTCACCTTTAGCTCAGCTTCATCTCCTCTAGGGTAAGTCTGCGGCTGGCAGCTCTGCTGACAGCTTATACTAACTAGATTATTTTCTTGATCTGTAACCTGACAATGCATGCATACTTGCTTTCTCAGAATAGTGTTTTTCTTGTTTTGCTGGTATTCGTTATTGGCAAAAACAGTCACAAGATTAATTTAGACAGTTATTTGTGTATCCCGATGGAAAATGCTTGCACATGATTCTCATCAGTAGCCTGTGGTGATTTCTTGGTCAATGAACATAGAAAATCTCAGAAAGTGCATAAGCAACCTGTTGGTGGAGCTCAAGGATCAATCAAGGGCCTTGTTTTTGCAGGGATCTGACCATAAAGCTGCGCTCACATTAAAGGCCCTGATATATTTCAAGCGAAGTTGAAGAACAAACTACTGTCACTTCATTTCGAACAAAATCAGGTCAAAATGACGTCTGTTTGAAAAAGTTTGTTTCGGCTAGTAAACACCTTCGAACTACCATTGGTCCGTGGTGATTACGTAATGGGTAGGTGCCTTCTTTGACATGGAAATCCCGTCCGGTTTATTTCTTCTAATTAAAAGCAACACTTACACTGTTTAATACTGCAAAGCTTCTTGCTTTAAAGCAGTGTGAGTTTCACAAAAGAAGATATTTTGAAGAATGTTGGTAACCAAACAGTTGCTGGTAGCCATTGACTTTGTGTTCAACAGAAGAAAGAAACTCATAGGTGTATAACAAGTGAAGGGTGAATGAATGATGACAGAATTTTCTTTTTTGTGTAAACTATCCTTTTACCTTTAGATAATGGATCTTTTTTGTCCATGAAATTTCGCTAATGTGACCGCATCTTATTGGGGCCTCCTAAAAATCCACAGGATCCTCCTACAACACAGTAGTCCTTTGAGCTGTGTCTGAGTGGGATCAAAAAAACTAATGCTTCCTAATTACAGCTGGTAAAAACATCGCAGGAAATGCGATCAAGTCCGATCAAGGGGCTGCATTACGCTTTGTTCTTACACTACTTATCTGGCCCATGTTTACATGCACATAAGGGATTTTGTGGGCAGCTGCAGAAACGAGATAAGAGAGGTTGTTCATCTCCTGACCTGACCCCGAGACCTGTCTGAGCTTCTGTAGGTAAAGCGTGTCTGTTTGATAGTATTTAAATGTCTACTCTTGTTTGTGTATGCACGTGTGTCTGGTGTATCTCCAGCTTCACAGCTGTCAGCATCAGAGACTTTGCCAGGTGCAGCTGAACTCTCAAAGCTCTGGTTAAGTTGCACTAATAAGACGCCATCGTCCCTACTTGATCTCAGGGTGGAACCTTTAATGCTTGATAGCTGACATAATCACAGACTGCCTCGCTCAGAAGAATGTGTTTTTGAAGACTTAGAATGGGAAAAGTTTATTTGAATACACCAAAAGTCAATGCAAAATAGCCAATGTGTCGTTTGTTGACTTCATCTGCAGGTATTTAACCTTTTTGACAACAGTCCCCAGGGTGTCCGTATCCCCACTGTTCTGCATAGTACACAAAACTCCCAATGACGCTAAAAGGAAATGCTCAAAGCGAGGCAATTCTAAGAGGGTGTAATGGGAATGGTGTGGCATATTGGTTGAATCTCAGGCCTGGTAACCATCACAAGGCCCATACTGAATGTTTTAGCATTTTGTATTATTGCAGTTACTTGAGGGAAAACGTGGATAGTTTACCATTTACTCACCTTCATGTTGTTCCAAACCTGTAGGATTGTCTTCTGTGAAACACAAAAGTGAATTTGTAAAGAATATTGTGACTATGCCTTAAATGATGACAGAATATTCATGTTGAGTAAACAATCCCTTTACGTAAGTTAATTTCAGCATATGATTGTTTACAGCAGTTTACAGTGGCATGTTAACCTGCAGGCCTGACAAGATCACAAGGTTATATTGTTATCTAGCATTAAACAGGCTAGTTTGTGCTTGTCAGTCCCTTCACAGTCTTTCCCTCAGCTGTGTTTGTCCATGAAGGAGACAACTGGACAGCAGGGTTGCTTGTAAAACAAAAAATGCATAGAAATGGATGGATGTCTTCCACAGGAAACAGGGTCTTTGGACTAATGGGTTGCAGTCTTGAGTAAAAACAGATGGAAGAGTGCTGAGGCAGTGTGACTTTAAATGTCCCGCTCTCCCTCTTTAGCTGTGTTTAAACAGAGACACTGGCTTGTTTCGGTTCAGACTTGCACTGGAACTTAATTAGAGCCACTATCTCACACAGAGAAAAGAAAAAAGCTGAGAGAAAATATTACAAATATAGAGCCTTTCGCATGTGAAAGAGGGAGTAGAATGTTGTTTTGGAGCATGTAACATCAGGGAGTGGAAGTTGTGGATTTATGTTTTGCATCTGACACACACACACACTCTCTCTCTCTCTCTCTCACTCACACACACACACTGAACATCTAAGTGTCTGGCTCGGCAGCACATGCAGGGGGTCTCGGATAGACGTCTGGCTTTAGAAATGAGGTTTGTGCAGTTGCTTGTGCATGTTAAGAGCTCCTGTCTTCAGCAGCCAATATAAGGAGGAGAAGAAGGAGGAGGAGGCGACTCTGTAAAACAGGCAGAACAGTCACTGAAACCCAGAGCTCAGATCTCAGCCAGCCGCTGCAGTCGCTCCTTTATTACAACGGGTCGAGATGGGCCTTCAGCATGGAAAAGGAAATTGACTTTTATAAGCATTTCACTTGGCTTAAAAAGGTAGGTTGAAATGTATGCTTTCTACTGTAAGTTATCCACTTTATGGATATATCCATTAATCTTTTATTACTCACTGTTTTTTATTTTCCTTTTCTCTCATGCACAGTCAACCAGTCATTATTGCAAAATTTGTTATGGAATACTGATATGAGTTTAAATTATTTTACAATCTTTAGCTGTATTTTATCTTAAAGTTTCCAGTAAGAAAATAATAGTCCATTAAAATGTACAAAACAATCGGCCTAGCAACATAACAAACACCATGACAATATTACACAACATTACAATATTAATATTACAGTTAAACTAAGTGAAAATATGCTGAAACATGTTTAAGTTTTTTTTTTTCAGTTTAATGTATAGTTTAATTTAAGTTAACTGTAATAACCCTAGATGGCAGCAGTTGCATGAAATGTGAGTCCGCAGTGATATTAGAGACGTGAAAGTAGCAGCGGTTTCTGTTACTCGGATGAGCAGACTGATATGGAGTGGTTAGATTTGTGTAGAACTGTTTGTTGTTGTTCAAAACATCAGGCTGTATTGTGCTGGTAAGGATGCGTGCCGGGAGCTTGTGATTTGCAATAGTACAAAAGCACTTTTTATCCTGTCCAGCTTCAATGATTCTGAGCTCATGCCCTTGAACACAAACAAAAACGCTTTCACTAACTAACACTTGATATTTGGAGGAGTAAATCAAGCTATAAAAATTCAATTTAATCGTGGGGGTATGAACATCAATATGCACACCTGTTCTTAAAGTGTAAGAGGCTTTGAAAAGCTTGCTTGCCATGGTTGATGTGGTTTACAAGACATTGTGGGATTGCAGTAAGCCAGATATGGGGCAGGTATTTGTAACGTTGCAGGAAGGTACACACTGTAAAAAATCAACCAGCCATTACATTCCAAAGTAAGAAAGACATTACAGTAATTAAACTTCACAAGGTGTAACAGTATAAAATGGTGGTTTAGAAGAGGAATGGAACGCATTACTGTATTGCAGGGAGGGGTTGTACTGTAGAACTCTCAATATTGTCATGCATTCTTGGACAGTGGGATAATAATGATCGCTGTAGTTTCTTCTGAAGTAATTTCAGGCGTTTACAGTTCTGCAAGCAGGCAGTGGGACATGAAAAGGGGGAAATTCCTGGGCCTCTGGGTTGTCTTGCTTATAAACATCTCTCTGGTGAGGTAATCAATTGAACTGGTGCTCTAGAGAGCATCCTGAATCTCACTGTTTGAACTCAGCTCTAAATGTTAAATTAACTATAGATCAGGACATGTAGTGGACTTCTGAAACAAGGAGACAAAGTCACTTCCTGTTGGTTTGGGTTGTAAATTCATGTTCCAGTTGATGTTTATGGTTTCCAGGTTAAAGCTGAAGTGTATTTTATGAACCACTAGCGCCACTGAATGGCAACAGTCGGTTCCAAAAGTAAAAATCCCATTAATTTTATCCACAAGGGAACTGATTTTAATGATAACTTATAAACCGTTAACGACAGAACTACTGTGAAGGTTATTAATCAATGGTATATGCATTTGTTGAAGCCATCAGTCCACATTATTTTATAAATAATCATGTTCAGTAGTGGAATTCCTGGTGAAAAACTACATTACCCATGATTCTGCAGAGAATCTCTAACAATCAGTATATTGTCATGAACCAGTGCGATGTTGATCGTGTATTTAAGTATTTAAATATATACATGATTAACATCGTTAAATGAATATATTTATTCATAATTTTTAATACGAAGATATCATTAGCAATGCTTTATGGGATTGTAGTTCTTTCCCTCACTTCATAAATAATAATTATACTGTTACTTTTAAGTTCTTTTGAGTTCCTCACATTAACACATTAAATGATATCACACTCTTTTCTTCTGATATCAAACTTTTTTTCTCATTACCTGTTTCCCAAGAAATAAATAACCTCGGGTTAAGTTTAAATTTGCTGTGGATTGCAATTATCATGCAGTGAAAGCCTCATGTGTGAGGACTGAGCGCTGCCTTTAGACAAGCTTAACCCTGTAACTCCTCCAGGCAGCCGGCCCTGCAAACCCTGAGTAGACAGCTTTATTGTGAGAATTGACAGCCCAGGACACAGCAAAAGCTTTTAAAAGACAGAGATTATCCATGTGGCAAGCGCTAGCTCTGCTAGCTTAGTGCTGACAAGTAACGTTAAGTGACAGTGTCTTATCTCGCACTCTGCGACATGCTGTATTTACTGACGTGTTTTTTGCTGATATAGACTGAAGAGATGGACAGAAGATTTGTTTGATCATTAATCTTTTTTCAGCTTATGATAATTTGGGTAACACTTTAGTATAGGGACCAATTCTCAGTATTAACTAGATGTTAATTAACATGCCTGTTATTAACATATTGGCTGTTTATTAGTACTTAAAGCACATATTCTGCATGACCATATTCTACATCCCTAATCCTACCCAATAACTTAACATTTACTAACTACTAATAAGCAGCAAATTGGGAATTTATTTAGGCAAAAGTCATAGTTAATGGTTTGTTAATAGCGAGAATTGGACCTTAAAATAAAGTGTGACCATAATGTGTTATGCTAAATTGGTATATGTTCTGTCTGTCTAGCCATGCATACATCCATTTGAATTGTGCACACAATATTAGCTGGAAAATTATGATCATTTTAATTTCAAATCTATCTGTCTGTCTTTGCCTATCTATCTCAACCCTGGGGCACAACATGCTGTTTTCTTTTTCCATTGTTATTGTGACCCTCAAACCTTATGCAAATGACCCCATTAATTTGTAATGAGCTCCTTTATTGTGTTTCTATTGTCAAAGCTGTCAGTTCATTTTTTTGGTGCCAGCATGTCATTTAACACCTTTAAAACAACACTTACGTAAATGTATTTGGCTTACTTGCGTATTTCTCTTTGTTGAAGTTTATTCTGTCATTGGCAGCAAGCCATTTATTCTCAAAAAAGTGGACAAGCAGGTTAGCTCCTCCTCTTGCACACCTCTCTGTTGACTTTCAGTTTCTGTCTGTGTGTGTGTACCTGGTATTCCCTACATTATGGAGACCAAATGTCCCAACAAGTAAAGAAATACCAGTAATGTTTTACCTTGTGTGGACATTTTTTGGTCCCCATGAGGAAAACAGCTTATAAATCATACAGAATGATCTAAAATAGCAGAATGTTTTATGTAAGGGGTATATTTAGGGTTAGGGTAAAGGGATAGAAAATACATTTTTGTACATTATAAAAACCATTACGCCTATGGAATGTCCCCATAAAACATGGAAACCTGTGTGTGGGTGTGTGTGATTCAGGTTTTGCTATCTGGGCTGAATGTCCCCACAAAGCGAGTATAACCTGAAACAACCCACACTGAGGATATTTGTGTCCTCATGACGAAATCAGCCACTTCAAGTGATCAAAATGTACTTACAATCCAGAAGACTTCTCTGTGTAAAAACACATGTACATGTGTGTCTCCACAGGTTAACCTCCAGTGCTCAAGCAACAATGAGACCTATCAAGAGCGGCTGGCGAGATTAGAAGGGGACAAAGAGTCTCTGGTTCTCCAGGTGAGATATTTAACTCAGGCCTCCAAGGCATTTCAACGCAACATAATTGTCACAATGTCAACACAATGAGAAGACAGCTAGCCAACATGCTTGTAAAACCTCACAGGGTCAAACCGGGGGACTGTGGTGTCTCTGTGAACGGAGAGGCATGTGACACTGCCGCGCTGCAGCCCAGGGTGACACAGCTGCCTGTCTAATGCACAATGGAATGGTTGTAGATCACATAGCTATGGGACAAACTTTGGACAGGTTAGGGGGTTTCTCAACATTTTACCAAGCAACAATGGTGGACACCACAGTGAGAGTGTAGCCATTATCAGCTTTAGAACGGTATGTGTTTACTGTAAACTAGCAAGCTTGTTTGTGTTCATTTAACAGAGATTTTTCCAAAGCCGACATTTTGATTTAACAGTAAATATATGTCCAGAATATGTGTCTGCTGATTTATATATCAGTCAATTATTTTATGCCATAAAAAATGCCACAGATGATAATATTTCTATATTGAAGGTCTTCTAGCTGGTTGCTAGGGCATTGCTTGGGGGTTTCTAAGGCTTCTAGGTAGTTAGAGTATTCTAGATGGTTGCTATGGCATTGCTAGGTGGTTTCTAGGGTGTGACGAGAGGGGCGGTGGAGTAAATGCTAATGCACGGCACCAATGTAACACAGTTCGTAGTCACGGGAAGAAGGTGAACCGGCGAACATTTGAACAAAACTTTAATAAAATAAACAAACACAAAATGAAAGTAAAGCGCAGCCTCTCACAGACGACTGCCGCACACAAAACACAAAATAAATCCAGGCCTGGTCCTCTCTCGTCTTTCACTGTCGTAACTCCTCCTTTTATCTTTCCGGATCTCCTCCTTGGGACTCGAGGCCGGTGAGTGGTGCAGGTGTCGCTCATTATCAATTACTCCACCGGCCTCGCTCCGTTCCCACGGCTCTCGGCCCCGCCCCCACTCATCACATAGGGCATCTAGTTGGTCACTAGGGTATTCTAGATGGTTGCTAGGGCATAGCTAGGCAGTTTCTAGGACTTTTTATGCGGTCACTAGGGTATTTTAGATTGTTGCTTGGGCATTGCTATGTGGTTCTAGGTGATTTCTAGGGTATTCCAGATGGTTTCTAGGATGTTGCTTGGGTGTCTGACTGGTTGCTAGGGCATTGTTAGGTGGTGTCTTGGGCTTCTATGTGATTGGTAGCCAGTTGCTATGATATTCTAGATCAGGACTGGGCATTATAGGTCATGGAGGGCCACTGTCCTGCAGTGTTTAGTTCCAACCCTAATCAAAGACACATGAACAAGCTAATCAATCTCTTCAAGATCACTAGAAAGCTACAGGCAGGTATGTTTAATTAGGGTTGGAGCTAAACTCTGCAGGGCAGTGGCCCTCCAGGACCCGAAGTTGCCTAGCCCTGTTCTAGATGGTTGCTATGGCATTGCCAGATCATTTCTAGGTTGCCAATGTATTTTAGATGGCTTCTAGGATGTTGCAATGATATTCTAGATGGTTGTTAGGACATTGCTAGGTGGTTGCTAAGACTTCTAGGTGGTTAGCGTATTCTAGATTGTTTCTATGATGTTGCTAGGGTGTCTGGGTTGTTGCAAGGGCATTACTAGGTGGTTTCTAGGGCTTCTAGGTGGTCGCTAAGATATTGTAATTGGTTGCTATGGCATTGCTAAGTGGTTTCTAGAGCATTGCTAGATGGTTGTTAGTGTTGCTAGGTGGTTGCTAGGGTGTTCTAGGTGGTCACTTGGAATTCTAAATGGTTTCTGGTAGGGTGACCATACGTGCCATTTTCCCAGGATGCGTCCTGGCCAGGATTTGTTTTGGCTTTGTTTTCCTGTCTTCATGCTTGTTGAAGGTAATGATCAAAAAGTAGTTTGACCAATAACATGCGAGCATTGTACATAATGGACTAATCATGGCATGTGAGAAAGTGGGATCTACTGTCAAAGCGATGCAATTACGCATACATATCAGGTGTGTTCAACTTAAAAGCAGTGCGGCTCAGACCGATCAGTGTTTGACATCAAGTACCCCGAGAGCGTTTCGAAAGCATAACTGTCTGTATGGTACTTTGATGTCATACACCGATCGGTCTGCACACACAAACAAAGCCAAAACCTAGATATTTTAGGCAATATAGAAATCCTGGCCAGGACGCGTCCTGGGAAAATGGCACGTATTGTCACCCTAGTTTCTGGGGCATTGCTAGGTGGTTACTAGGGCTTTGAGATGGTTGCTAGGGTATTCTAGATGGTTGCTAGGGCATAGCTAGGCAGTTTCTAGGACTTTTTATGCGGTCACTAGGGTATTTTAGATTGTTGCTTGGGCATTGCTATGTGGTTCTAGGTGATTTCTAGGGTATTCCAGATGGTTTCTAGGATGTTGCTTGGGTGTCTGACTGGTTGCTAGGGCATTGTTAGGTGGTGTCTTGGGCTTCTATGTGATTGGTAGCCAGTTGCTATGATATTCTAGATCAGGACTGGGCATTATAGGTCATGGAGGGCCACTGTCCTGCAGTGTTTAGTTCCAACCCTAATCAAAGACACATGAACAAGCTAATCAATCTCTTCAAGATCACTAGAAAGCTACAGGCAGGTATGTTTAATTAGGGTTGGAGCTAAACTCTGCAGGGCAGTGGCCCTCCAGGACCCGAAGTTGCCCAGCCCTGTTCTAGATGGTTGCTATGGCATTGCCAGATCATTTCTAGGTTGTCAATGTATTTTAGATGGCTTCTAGGATGTTGCAATGATATTCTAGATGGTTGTTAGGACATTGCTAGGTGGTTGCTAAGACTTCTAGGTGGTTAGAGTATTCTAGATTGTTTCTATGATGTTGCTAGGGTGTCTGGGTTGTTGCAAGGGCATTACTAGGTGGTTTCTAGGGCTTCTAGGTGGTCGCTAAGATATTGTAATTGGTTGCTATGGCATTGCTAAAGTTATATTAGTGAGAATTGCCCTCTTTGCCTGGGATCATGTTCAGGATTTCATGACAGTGTCAACAAATGCTAGCGATGGAGAGATAGAGAGAGCCCTCATGTTTTCTTTGCTTGATGGGGCAAGTAAACTTTCTTAGTCATGGCAGTTTTCAGCTTAGTCATGGCAGTTTTCTTAAATACCATGGTTCTTTATAATAGGTGGATCCTTGCACAACAAACAAAAAAAATCCACGTCCAGGCACTCACATAGTCAGCAAGGTAAAACGCCTTTATTCTAAGACAGGGCTACATATTGAAGGGGTGGTTGATTGCGATTTCAATTTTTTAAAATGTTAGTTAGTATGTAATGTTGCTGTTTGAGCATAAACAGTGCCTGAAAAGTTATGAAGCTGAAAGTTCAATGCAAACGGAGATATCATCTTTTAACATTCTGGCAGTGGTTCTAAATACTGTTCCTCACGTTCCCCTGCTCTACATACGCTCTGCATATCTCTCACTCTCTTTCTCTCGCTCTCTCTCATTCAGCTCAGCTCCAACAATGAACTGTTCCAATTATACATTTATTTTCACATAGCTGTGAGAAGCGTTAAACATGGATTACTGTATTAAAGCTTTAATCAGGATAAAACCGTATATTAAAAGCTAACATAAGCAGTAGCATTTACAAATAACAGCATATCTTAAAGTATGAGACAATAACAAACAAAGAAATCATAGGCCTACCATTAAAAGCCGAGCTTGCACAGGTTCTGCACAATCCTCTTCAATAATATCCTCTGCTTCTCAATCGGGCTCAAACCGATAAGCGATATTAACGACGCCGTTGTTTACAATACAACCGGAGCACATGCCGCGGTGAGGGGCGGGACGCTTAGACGTGCACTAGAGGCGACCAATCACAACACACTGGGCTAGTTAACCAATCAGAGCCCATCGCCTATTTCTGAGGCTTCATAAAAGCAGGAAATGATCAGCGCGTTTCTCAGAGAAGGGCCAGAGAGGTGTGGAATAAATGTAAATTATGTGAAAAATAATGGGGTTTTTTTAAACGAAGCATTAACACATGTTAGACTGCACCCCATAATCACAATCAAGCCTAGAAAAAAAACAATGAACCACCCCTTTAAAAAGACACCAACACATATCAGCCCAAGCAGGCCTTTGTCAGGGTGTTCGCCAAGGCCTGCTTGGGCTGAGACGCATTGGTGTCTTTTTAATATGTAGCCCTGTCTTACCAACAGTGCAAAGAGCTGTTTTAGTTTATTTATCTGATTATGGATAGTTTAAGCCAAGGTTTCCCACAAGTGGAAGTTTGTGAACCCCTAGAGGTTTTTGAAGTAATTGCAGGAGATTCAAGTGATTTTGATAGAAATTTAATTTAAGCCCTCATAGTTTTGTTACAGTTGTGCTCCTTAAAATGTATTAATTAAAAAGCAAGTAAAAGTTATTTTATAAGAAAAATAACATTTCACATTAACTTGAAGTATATTTTAAATAATGATTTATAGTAGGTAATAGGAGTTCAACTGCAAAAAGTGTGTGCCCCTCTGGTTATGACAGCTTAATCTATTCCAGTGGTTCTTTAAAAAAACTTTTTTTTTAAAGAGCTTATTATAAAAGCGTGAATTTTTTTTCTTTTCTTTTTTTTCTTCTAGACCTGGAAAAGTCATGTAAATTATAAAGTAATTTAAAGTAATGTCTTATTACTCTTATTACATGCAATGTTTTTGTACATTTTATGAATATAACTTTTTCATTAATTCAAAACTCTATAATACATTTACATTACAGTTATGTAATCATTTAGCAAACACTCTTACCCAAAGTGACTTACAAATGAGGACATTAAAAGGCAATCAAAACCAACAAAAGAGCAATAATATGTAAGTGTAATATGTCAAATTGAAAATTTATATTGAATAGAAATGTTTTAGGTAATT